TATAGAGAGCCAACTGACAATTAAAGCAATTAAGGTCATGCAAAGAGGAAATAAAGAGACTGTCACGTGGTCTCTTAGTAAATAACACTTTGGTCAAGCGAATGCAGAAGATAATGAGAAGGCAAAAGAAGTATTGTTTAAAGCAGTGAACCTTAGAGAAGCACTTAAGGTTCTGGAGCACCTTCAATGTAGGGCGTGCCACTACAGTACTACAGGACAGCGAGAATTACAGACAGACCAAACTCTTGGTGGCGCAAAGAAAAGAAATATTAGCATTTTTGCAGGTGTATCGAAAGAAAGAAAGTAAAAAGCCTCTACCGAGGTGGATTAAATACCAGAGCAGTACCATAGCGAGTGGCCAGCCTTGAGACGACCTTCAATGGTGCCCAAACCCGCAGTTCGACAAAAAGTTTCTTAAATCGAAGAAGAGCTCGCTTCTCGAAAGTGTAAATGGCTTAACTGCGTTCGAACGCGGTCAGATCCTTAATCTCTCCTTGCTACCAAAAAACCAAAAAAAAAGAAAATTTAACCAAAAATACTTGATCACTTATTTGCCTGTTATCCGTTGAAGTACGTCGCTTTATTGAATTGTAGCCTTCTTTTCAACCTCAAAGGCGGGGGAATTTTAAGGGTTAGTGTTATCATCTCAGAATATCAATTTAGCCCTAGGATTAAACGCCTGTAGTTCCTCCTAACCAAATTAATCCACTCCGTTGATTGAGTCATGTGGTTTTTTTCATGCGGACATTACTTACGTCTAGACGATCGCATAAGACCGCATTGAAGATCTTTCTGAAGAAAACCCACAAACTCTATTGAGAAACTTTTCTGTTTAAAAGGTTTTCGACAAGACAGCTATAGCAATCAAGCAGAACTAAGCACTCCACCATATTTAACTGCTCTTAATGACCCCTACTCCTCAACCAATTGACAGTTCTTCCCTAAAGTCTTTGGTATGAACGCCTCATGTATTACCTGCCAGCTCCGTTCGGCATCTCAAACTCATGACGCCCAGCACATTCTCAGTTATTTTCACCATTGCCGACTATGTTGCTCCGCCCAACTCCTCATCGCTCACAAATTGGACAGTGGTAAATGACTTACTGAAATTGCAAAGCATGCCTTGTGAAACTTAAACTTATTCATGGCCACATCTTAATTACCGAAAGCTTCTACTATGTTTTTGGGCAAAATACGAGTACTCTCTCCACAAACCCTGCGCTGCTTTGCACATCCTTTGGCCTTTGGACTTTGGCATCGCCGAGAGCCACAAGTGAATGCAGCAATTAATTTTTAATTTACCATTTAATTTAGTGCGATTAGTAGTCAAGTCTAAGTTTGCAACTCTCTTTTGTGCAATTGCTCACTACCAAACAGTAAACTAAGTAACAGTAAACTCGCACTCAACACAGTTACGCAATGCAATTATTCAACAAACAGCAGCAACATAGCTGAATGCAATTGCAAAATGTCGTAAATACAAAACCATTAAGCATTTATATTTGCATGACATTTCTATCGTCAAACCATAATGGCATGCCATAAAGGATGGGCTTGGAGTGCGAGTATAAACGAACTAATTGCGACTTTTAACTCGCCTTGGCAACTCCTTAAATTTTATTATGCAAATAAAAATCATAGTGGGTGGCGAGCAAAGGAGGAGAGAGGAGTAAAGAGAGTAGAGAAGAAGAGATGGGTGCAGAGAGCAGCTGCTACAACATTCTCCTCATTCTCAAATTGCATTGTTGTTTGGCTCGCATCGCACAAGCAAGACAAGTCATTCCGTTTTCGCATATTTTGTTGACAAGAAATCGCTGCAGCGTCTTGTTGACGTTTTGTGGCAACCCTGCACACGACCATCAGCTTGAGTAGCGGCCAAAGTGTCAAAGTGCCATAAAATGTGTAAAATGATGTTAAAATTACTCGCACTTGCCGCCGGCGGCTGTGGTGTTGTTGCGCTTTGGTTGCGTTGCGTAATGCGTGACGGCTATTGCCACATAGCTTGCCATGCATTCGCGCCGCAAAACATCGCATGACAAGTTTGTGCCACTTGCAGCAAGCACTTCTACTTGTCTGCCAACCTACGCATTTGATGGTGTATATGACTTTTGTGTTGCGCTCGCAGGATACTTGTTACACGAGTTATATCAGATTTGTTCATCCAACGTTTATTTGCTTAAAATTACAGTCGATTAGTTTGCTCTGAACCCACCCTTCGTAATGTGGGCATTCATTTATCTTTATTTATATGGCGGGTCTTTAAAAATCCACTTCGCCTAAAGATATTATCACAGGCTTTAGAGATCAAACTTAGAGCATTAGTGCCTTAATTAAGGAGCTCTCCGCAGGAAAGCAGCTCAAAAAAATCTTTCATGCGAGTGTATTACATTATTATTAGACTTGAAACTGAATAAAGGTTTTGTTTTCGACTATTCGTTCGCCTGCCTCTCCGTTCCATCAGTGAGTCGGTCCAACCGTACATTTCACCATTCGTTTCTTCATCTCTCTTCCCGTCCTTATGACCTTTCGTCTGTTAATTCGTTCTTCCGCGCGCCTAGACGTTTATCGATTGCTTCGACAGTTTACCCATGCATCTCAATCTACCAATTCAGTGATCTGATCTTCCATCTATCCATCAGTCCATCTATTCCGTCGCTTTTTTTATACGTATAGTTGCCTTTCAGTCTATTCTACCCATCCGTTCATTCGTCCGCCTGTCTGCTGTTTATCAATGAAATCGTCAGTTTTTTGATCCGTCGCCTATATATTTGGCAATCTGGACTTTCGTCTGCCTATCAGTTCATTCGTCTCTACACTCGCCTATATGCCAGTCTATTTATTAATTCGTTTATCTTTTATTCGTGATTTCTTCCGTCTGCTCAGATGTTTATTAATTGATCAGAGTGTTCATCCACCTGGCGTCCATCCGATTGGCCACCTAACATTCCATCTATCTATCAGACAATCTAACATTCCGTCTGTACCTCTGTTAGTCTGCCCATATTTCGGCTCGACCACCTTTAGTATAACAACCAGTCTCCATCTAATCGGTCGTCAGGTGCTTCGCCTATTCATCAGTCTTGCTGTCCATCTGGCAAGCGATTCGTGGGCTTATTTGGCCGTTTGTGCTTCCACCTGTTGTTCCATCCATTTACCCGTCTGTATATCCTTCTCTCTGTCTATTTATCTTTGTACCAGTCGACCTGATTTTCCCCTCTTTCCATTGTTGGGTACTCTACTCCTAATATTTTTTTCTCCAAAGTCCAATATTCTCCACCCGAAATTTAAAGTCAGTAACAGCGGCCGCAGTGGCCTAGTGGTTAGCATTGCGTACTGCCATGCGGAAGGCCCGGGCTTAAATCCTTATTGCGGTCGCTCCTCGGCAGGGAATGTCAACACCTCCGAGTGTATTTCGGACACGAAATAAAGGCTCCTCATATAAAACCATCAGCCGTTCGGAGTCGCTAGTGAATGCTGAGAGTATTGTATTTAATAAGTCATTGCTTTCACTATTTAATAATTTATATTCGAGCTCATTTACTGAAAGCTCATTTATTGCGAGCTCGTAGAACTCACCTCGTTCGGTTGTTTATGGATTGAATGGATCTTCGTGTTTTTCCTTAGTTAGCAGACTTTTCGAAGCTGCGAGTGAATATAACTTGGAAATAAGTCATTCGGTGCCTCTACTGACTACGGGTATGCCTCCCAAAGTTGTGCCGGGTATTCGACAGTGGCATACACCGCTCACAGCACTCTCTTACTACTAACAATTTGTGTTGCTATTACAGCTGTTGCACTGTGCAAAGAGACACGTACAGCAATTTAGTTCATCGTCGTGCCAATGTGAATGCGTTGAAGGGCGGCGCACACCGTCCACCTGTACACTTCCACATCCCCCAGTCCTTATGTCAAGTGCGCATAGCAACACCTAAAGTTATGTAACGACGCTAGTGGTTGGTGCGCAGGAATGTGATGTTGACACTAGAAATTGTATGAGTATGTGACATAACACATTTGTTGCTTCCAAAGATGCAACGCATTTTTCAACTTCAGCCACCCGCACACGGCCAGGCGTTATGTCGCAGTGCGCCTGTTGACCTACTTAAAAACGCTCGCTAAACTCGACTGACCTGACTGTTAGTGTAACGAGAGAAATGTAGACAAATAGTTGTGTGGAGTCAAGTAGAGAACGGTCGTGGTTGGTGGTGGAGGAGATTGAGGGTTGTAATAGTAGTTGTTGGACTTGTACAATAGTCTAGCAGCACGCCGAAAGACCCAAAATTGGAATGATTATTACAAAGCTTTGTGGTTGTTGTTACTGCTGTTTTATCAGCTTTGTCAGAAGTATGCAATTTATTGTTGTAGTTGTGTGCAACAATTGTTGTTGTAAATGTTTTTTAAACGTGCTCACTTCTTTACAACCAACTTTGCAGTTCAGTTTCATGCGTCAAGTAAGACAACAAAATCAACAAGAACAACAACAATTGGGGTCAATGTATGCATCTAGTTCCTTTGCTCTTGAATATGTGTATATATATATTTAAATATATGTGTATATATATTATATAATGTTTATATATAATAGAAATGTTGTTGACTTGACCTAACCACTTGGCCACAGGACAACAATGGCAATAAGGACGAAAAGAAAATGGCAAAATGAGTTTGCATAAAAGAGTGTTGACTCTTTAATATATTAAAAAGAACTGAAAAATGTATTTTTGCTAGTCTAGTAGTGCGTGAATCAAGTTGGAGCATAAAGCCAACAAGTTTTGATCCTAAAACTGTATTTTGAAGCTCGTGAATTTCTATAGAAAATTTTTTAAGGAAAAAATTCTATATAATGGATGTTAAAATTCAAATAGCCATATATATATTTATCATATTATATATTATATTATTTAATAATTTTCCTAATCCAAATTTTATCAAATATATTATTACTTTCTTATTTTTTAACTAATTTCCCATTGAAATATATATTTTTTGTCAATTTTTAGATACGTTAAAATCATTTCGTCAGGCCATGCGATAAAGCAACCAATTTTATTGGAATTAACGCCTACGGTAAGTAGTTATTTTTTTTTCTTTGATACCAATTTACAAAATAAATTTAATTTGTATATATATTTGGCCGAGTAAAAAGTTCATTCGGTTTTTTATTGATTTTTCAAAATATGATAACTTTGTGTACATTTGTCTGATTTAAGTCAAATATGCGTCGTTTTGTACGTAAATCTGTTGCCAACGAGATGCCAACTTCATTATACCTCTCTCGTAGAAGGCTGCGTCCCTAATGGCTAAAAACTCAGAGAGCCAATTTTCACAGGCCTCTCTTGAAGCCAACTTCTCACCACTAAGCGCTTTCGCCCTGGACAGGTAAGGATGGTAATCATTTGGTGCCAGTTCCGGACTATAAGGCGGGTGCATTAACACCTCCCATCCGAGATCCTGGAGCTTCTGGCGCATCACCAAAGACGTTAACATCTTATTTTTTCCGGCTTTCAATGCAACGCTAGCAATTTCGATATTTTAAATAAACGTGCAAAATATTATTCGAGATAGACCTTCTCTTAAGTCGTTACATTACAAGACACTTTTTCACTTTTGTTAAAGCAATACAGGTTTCATTTTAATTTTTTATGATAGCAACGTTGCCAATTTTCCTGAGTATTGCAATATCGACTTGAAATTATCAATATTAGAAGGTAATGATGACAATTTTCTTTTCGAATATCAGTAACAGGCACAAGTAGCAAAAGTAATTTTAGTAAACCTTCAATTATTATGCTGTTAGCTACGTTGTCAGTTTTCGTATCTTTTAACCCTTGCAATTTTCATATACTTCTACATAAGTGATTTTCCGCTTTTAGCTAGAATTTTTTCTGATAAACAGCTAACGCATATTTAAATTCAACTATTATTTGTAATAAATATATATATTTGTTATTAATATTTCTTTTTAACTTAACTTAAAATTTAATTTAAAGCACTAACCTAATGCAAGTATCTATTTACTGTGTGACAGTTCATTAAGCTCAGTGGCAAACGTGTGAAATGTGAAATAAAAACAAACGAAAAAATAACAAAAAATTGGAATACGAATTGTCATGCGTGACATACATACATTTTTTTCTTATTTATTTCTTTTTTTCTTCGCCACAATATCTCCGCCTGCAGCCAGCAACGCTGAAAACTGTGCTAGTGTTGCATATCCCAAGGCGCGAGGCAAACGAAAATACATAAAATAAGAAAAAATTATTGTTTTTGTAAAATCACGTTGCTTTTTGTAATTTTCCCATGCGTGTTGCACGACACATACATATTTACATGCATACACTCAAGCATTTGTGTAAATTGCCATTTTTTCGCCGCATTTTTCATGAAACATTAACTGCTGCCGCCAACAGCAACTTGTAGCCAACAAAACTGACATTGCTAGTGTATGTTACAGTTAGCAGCCAGCGGCATGGTTGTGTAGTAAGTATGTAAGTTTTTTTTTGTCTTATTGCTCGACATTTCATGCACTACAAGCACACGCTGGCTGCCACTTTTACTGAACATTTTTTTGTCGTCGCTGTTACTATTTCAACTGTGGCTAATGTTGCAGCTGCACGTACTTCATTTTGGTGCTGCAGTTTTTTTGTTGCGTACAAAGAAAAAAAGAACAGTTCCACAAAATTTGTACCCATGTACAGTAAAGTTTTTGTTTTTTTTTAGCATTTCTGACTATGGGTCTGCTTATATGTAGCCACCAATCGTCTCAGCTGTGAGTTGGTTTTTTTGGCAGCAACGCGGCAGCACTGTTCTCAGCTGTGCCACTTGCACCAGCAAGTAAAAAACAAAAAAACAATACTTTCAGTCTGCCACAGGCATTGCATATAAACTTATATTTGCGTTGAGTCTGAGTGTGTGCGTTTGCACCGCGAGACATTTGAGATGCCAAAATAACTCAGCTGATGTACTTACATAAGTATGCAGTTGGCCGGTAGATGCTCATGTCGCCAGCCTCTTCTGGTTTGCTATTTTTGCTATTTATGTTTCGTAAATATTTTATATCCATGACGTCATTGCAATCGCTGTTGGACTCATATGCATATTCATTTTTGATTTAACAGCTTGCACTGCATACTGATTTGCAGATTTGTTACTCTTTTCAGGATCTAAAAAGTTTGAACATCTCGAAATGTTTACAAGTGAAACCATTTTTACTCTAAAAATTCGACCTTTCCTATCAAGTTTTGCTGCCAAAAACATGTCCTTCCCGATATTGGCGTCCATGAAATTTCGATTAAGATGAACTCTTATACGAGTATATCAACGCATGTAAAACTGAATGGTATCCGGAATGCGAAAAAACTTGTCATTTTAGAGATACGTTTAAATGTTGCCAGTGTTTCCAAAATAGTTATAGCAGCAGCTATAAACCAGTTATGACTAATATTCTTAGGGCCGTTTTCACCATCATCTCTCATAACATAATCGGAAGGTAGCAAAAAATTCGTTTTCACAATGACCGCTTAAGGCACATCTGCCAATCATCACGCCGACATTGAGTGCCGATTAGCTCTCGTTTTTTATTGGTCAAGAAAGAATATTACTATCGTTCGCCGACCAGAAACTACTCTTCTTTAATGGACTTCAGCAGCTGGCAACCTACGGTCGAACAATAAACCTTCGCTTGAGTGCGAGCTGACATGAGAAGGTGGAAATTCCGTTGTTGTACTGTAGGCTTGTAAATTAAAAAAAGAAAATAACAATAAAAAGAAAGAAATAAAAATAGTCCAACACATACCTACTAGTAAAATGTCTTTCATTTTAATTTTATTCCATCAGGCCGGCTGGCGCTTAATGCAAGAATATTTGTCATCAATTTTGCCTAATTTAAAGGCACATACACACATACGCTTTAACCAAAGCAGCCGTAGAGCTACTCATCAGGAATCAGGAAAACGTGCACTTAGATTGTGATTTTCACTTGCCAAACAGAGAAATAGTTAAGTAAGTCTTCTTTAAATTAAGCAACTAAAACATTAAGAAGACCTGGCAGTGTGTTTTTTACAGTAATAATGGCCTAAAAAAGGTGATTTTTGGGAATGTTTATAGAAAAAATACTTTATCAATTATTTAAAAATTTTAAGAATATATTTATAAATGTTTCAAGAGTATACAGTGAAATTTTGGAGAAAAAAATTAAATATTTTTTATGTTATAGTCGATCTCCAACGGCGCGAATTAAAGGTCCTTCATTGCTGCAGTAATTCTGGCCTTCTCCGTGGATAAAATCTAAAAAAAAAATCTCTACTAGATAATTGACAACATGGCGGCGTTTAAAAAAAATAAATTGAATTTTACTCAAAATTTTGGTCGTTTTTGGCCTGCCAAAATTCGACTTTTTGATCAGATCAAAAATCGATTGGCCATTGTACGAAGAACTATATATAAAACATGTAAAAAAAATTCGATAGTGATCGGATCATTTGTTTTTGAGTAATCACAGCAGCAAATGCGGAAAACGCTGTTTCGAGAAAAACTCGTTTAAAGATAAAATGATCGTTTTCACTCGTCGCTAGTGAGATTCTCTAGCTGCCGAGCGGCTGCTCTTTAAATTGCTATAACTCAAAAACTATTAGAGATATCGATTTAAAATTTTAATATGATATTTTTAAAGGTGTGATCTACCGAAATATGAAAAAAATCGATTTTTTTGAAATTTAAACGGTCTCCACCACTGTTAGGGTATCAACGTATGTAGATCTAAAAAAATCAGTTTTAATTTTTTTTCTAATTAATATCTAAAAATCTAATAAAAAGCTCTTCCAAAGGCTGTAACGGAGCATCCTTTGACTCGTTTTAAATATTTATTTTTTTTTTTGGTTCACAAAAGCTCTTCGTTTTTTATGTCTCATCGACGAATAGTTAAAGGTTTCTTCTGTACATATCTACAAGCAGAACTAGTCTGCTTTCATTATACACATTTTATTTGGTTTGCAATACCTTATTTAGCACACACATATCATTTCCTTTAAACTCGTATGTATGTCAGCTTAGCCAATCTGCTTAAACCGCCCAATCAACCAGTCAGCCTACCAACTAGGCAATGATTGCCTTTTGGTTACTTAACTTAGTTTGCCGGCGGTTATTCAATATTCATGTTACACCAATATCCTCGAGCAGCTGCACAGAGGCTAAGCACTACATAATATGTGCCCAGATCTACCCTGCGTTCACCTAAAAAAACTTTTTTCTCCTTCCTCGCTTGTACTTTTGGGCTACTTTGCTTAAGGCCAAATACACTTTTCTATTAAGATTTTTCGTTTTTTTTCGTTCTTCTTTTATCCATAATGCATCCATCAAGGCTTTGGCTTTGTTGGGGAGTGTGGGTTGGGGTATTTTGCTATGTTAAAGCAAAAAGGTGTAGGAAGTTTTTGGGTGCGCTTTGCTTTTACGGTTTATTGCGTATTGTTGAATAATTGGATTAGATTACCTGCTGGCTTATTGGGTGGTGTAAATGTTTGCAAACATGCATGAACTTGTACATATATGTATGTATGACTATACCTAATAAGTACGGTTAGAGAGCTCAGTTACTCAATTATCAAAGATGTTTATGCTGTTGTAGGTAACGCCGCATGGTGTGGCATGTGTGGGGGTGCGTTCGAGTTAATATTGCCGTTGGTGTTGTTGTCAACATTGATGGATGATGTTGACACCCCAAATTTTCTTTTTAGCCCCGTGGACATGACAAGCAAACAACTCACATCAATTCAGTGAATTGTGAGAATTGATTTCGAATCAGCTCCAAAGTAAAGTATTAAAGAAATATTTTATTTTTCTTCGTTGGCTCCCCCATAGCTGTGAATACTAAAAACTGCTTCATGAACCCCTAATTGGGTGATTTTTTAAGGAAATAAGCTCCTTTAACTCTATACGAGAAGTTAGTATATTTCAAAGACTTTCGTGTGTTAAATCTGTGCTGAACCAATTGAAAGATTTGATTTATGTTAACCTGAACTTACTTTTACTTACTGCACTGGCGTAGACACTGCTTACGCGATTATAGCCGA